ATCGTAATCTGTCACGAGACATAGTTTTTTCAAAAAAAAATAATTCATATTTTTATAAAGGGTGGTTTTTCTATAAGACGCCAGGGGTTTAGGACATTCAGTTTTTTACTGTACAGTGACATTATTCGGTTCTTCTTACATCCACTAATCGTAATCTGTCACGAGACATAGTTTTTCAAAAAAAAAAAAATTCATATTTTTATAAAGGGTGGTTTTTCTATAAGACGCCAGGGGTTTAGGACATTCAGTTTTTTTCTGTAAAGTGACATTATTTGGTTCTTCTTACATCAACTAATCGTAATCTGTCACGAGACATAGTTTTTTCAAAAAAAAAAATAATTTATATTTTTATAAAGGGTGGTTTTTCTATAAGACGCCAGGGGTTTAGGACATTCAGTTTTTTACTGTAAGGTGACCTTATAAGGACCTTTTTACATCCACTAATCGTAATCTGTCACGAGACATAGTTTTTCAAAAAAAAAAATAATTCATATTTTTATAAAGGGTGGTTTTTCTATAAGATGCCAGGGGTTTAGGACATTCAGTTTTTTTCTGTAAAGTGACATTATTTGGTTCTTATTACATCCACTAATCGTAATTTGTCACGAGACATAGTTTTTTCAAAAAAAAAATAATTTATATTTTTATAAAGGGTGGTTTTTCTATAAGACGCCAGGGGTTTAGGACATTCAGTTTTTTACTGTAAGGTGACCTTATAAGGACCTTTTTACATCCACTAATCGTAATCTGTCACGAGACATAGTTTTTCAAAAAAAAAAAAAAATAATTCATATTTTCATAAAGGGTGGTTTTTCTATAAGACGCCAGGGGTTTAGGACATTCAGTTTTTTACTGTAAGGTGACTTTATAAGGACCTTGTTACATCCACTAATCCTAATCTGTCACGAGACATAGTTTTTCAAAAAAAAAAAAATAATTCATATTTTTATAAAGGGTGGTTTTTCTATAAGACGCCAGGAGTTTAAGACATTCAGCTTTTTACTGTAAGGTGACCTTATAAGGACCTTCTTACATCCACTAATCGTAATCTGTCACGAGATATAGTTTTTTCAAAAAAAAAATAATTCATATTTTTATAATGGGTGGTTTTTCTTTAAGACGCCAGGGGTTTAGGACATTCAGTTTTTTACTGTAAGGTGACCTTATAAGGACCTTCCTAAATCCACTAATCGTAATCTGTCACGAGACATAGTTTTTTCAAAAAAAAAAAAAAATTTATATTATTATAAAGGGTTGTTTTTCTATAAGACGCCAGGGGTTTAGGACATTCAGTTTTTTACTGTAAAGTGACATTATTTGGTTCTTCTTACATCCACTAATCGTAATCTGTCACGAGACATAGTTTTTTCAAAAAAAAATAATTCATATTTTTATAAAGGGTGGTTTTTCTATAAGACGCCAGGGGTTTAGGACATTCAGTTTTTTACTGTAAAGTGACATTATTCGGTTCTTCTTACATCCACTAATCGTAATCTGTCACGAGACATAGTTTTTCAAAAAAAAAAATAATTCATATTTTTATAAAGGGTGGTTTTTCTATAAGATGCCAGGGGTTTAGGACATTCAGTTTTTTTCTGTAAAGTGACATTATTTGGTTCTTCTTACATCCTCTAATCGTAATCTGTCACGAGACATAATTTTTTCAAAAAAAAAAATAATTTATATTTTTATAAAGGGTGGTTTTTCTGTAAGACGCCAGGGGTTTAGGACATTCAGTTTTTTACTGTAAGGTGACCTTATAAGGACCTTTTTACATCCACTAATCGTAATCTGTCACGAGACATAGTTTTTCAAAAAAAAAAATAATTCATATTTTTATAAAGGGTGGTTTTTCTATAAGATGCCAGGGGTTTAGGACATTCAGTTTTTTTCTGTAAAGTGACATTATTTGGTTCTTATTACATCCACTAATCGTAATTTGTCACGAGACATAGTTTTTTCAAAAAAAAAATAATTTATATTTTTATAAAGGGTGGTTTTTCTATAAGACGCCAGGGGTTTAGGACATTCAGTTTTTTACTGTAAGGTGACCTTATAAGGACCTTTTTACATCCACTAATCGTAATCTGTCACGAGACATAGTTTTTCAAAAAAAAAAAAAAATAATTCATATTTTCATAAAGGGTGGTTTTTCTATAAGACGCCAGGGGTTTAGGACATTCAGTTTTTTACTGTAAGGTGACTTTATAAGGACCTTGTTACATCCACTAATCCTAATCTGTCACGAGACATAGTTTTTCAAAAAAAAAAAAATAATTCATATTTTTATAAAGGGTGGTTTTTCTATAAGACGCCAGGAGTTTAAGACATTCAGCTTTTTACTGTAAGGTGACCTTATAAGGACCTTCTTACATCCACTAATCGTAATCTGTCACGAGATATAGTTTTTTCAAAAAAAAAATAATTCATATTTTTATAATGGGTGGTTTTTCTTTAAGACGCCAGGGGTTTAGGACATTCAGTTTTTTACTGTAAGGTGACCTTATAAGGACCTTCCTAAATCCACTAATCGTAATCTGTCACGAGACATAGTTTTTTCAAAAAAAAAAAAAAATTTATATTATTATAAAGGGTTGTTTTTCTATAAGACGCCAGGGGTTTAGGACATTCAGTTTTTTACTGTAAAGTGACATTATTTGGTTCTTCTTACATCCACTAATCGTAATCTGTCACGAGACATAGTTTTTTCAAAAAAAAATAATTCATATTTTTATAAAGGGTGGTTTTTCTATAAGACGCCAGGGGTTTAGGACATTCAGTTTTTTACTGTAAAGTGACATTATTCGGTTCTTCTTACATCCACTAATCGTAATCTGTCACGAGACATAGTTTTTCAAAAAAAAAAATAATTCATATTTTTATAAAGGGTGGTTTTTCTATAAGATGCCAGGGGTTTAGGACATTCAGTTTTTTTCTGTAAAGTGACATTATTTGGTTCTTCTTACATCCTCTAATCGTAATCTGTCACGAGACATAATTTTTTCAAAAAAAAAAATAATTTATATTTTTATAAAGGGTGGTTTTTCTGTAAGACGCCAGGGGTTTAGGACATTCAGTTTTTTACTGTAAGGTGACCTTATAAGGACCTTTTTACATCCACTAATCGTAATCTGTCACGAGACATAGTTTTTTCAAAAAAAAAAAAATAATTCATATTTTTATAAAGGGTGGTTTTTCTATAAGACGCCAGGGGTTTAGGACATTCAGTTTTTTACTGTAAGGTGACTTTATAAGGACCTTGTTACATCCACCAATCGTAATCTGTCACGAGACAGTTTTTTCAAAAAAAAAATAATTTATATTTTTATAAAGGGTGGTTTTTCTATAAGACGCCAGGAGTTTAAGACATTCACCTTTTTACTGTAAGGTGACCTTATAAGGACCTTCTTACATCCACTAATCGTAATCTGTCACGAGATATAGTTTTTTCAAAAAAAAAATAATTCATATTTTTATAATGGGTGGTTTTTCTATAAGACGCCAGGGGTTTAGGACATTCAGTTTTTTACTGTAAGGTGACCTTATAAGGACCTTCTTACATCCACTAATCGTAATCTGTCACGAGACATAGTTTTTTCAAAAAAAAAATAATTTATATTTTTATAGAGGGTGGTTTTTCTATAAGACGCCAGGGGTTTAGGACATTTAGTTTTTTACTGTGAAGTGACATTATATGGTTCTTCTTACATCCACTAATCGTAATTTGTCACGAGACATAGTTTTTTCAAAAAAAATAATTCATATTTTTATAAAGGGTGGTTTTTCTATAAGACGCCAGGGGTTTAGGACATTCAGTTTTTTACTGTAAGGTGACATTATAAGGACCTTCTTAAATCCACTAATCGTAATCTGTCACGAGACATAGTTTTTTAAAAAAAAAATAATTCTAATTTTTATAAAGGGTGGTTTTTCTATAAGACGCCAGGGGTTTAGGATATTCAGTTTTTTACTGTAAGGTGACCTTATAAGGACCTTCTTACATCCACTAATCGTAATCTGTCACGAGACATAGTTTTTTCAAAAAAAAAAAATAATTTATATTTTTATAAAGGGTGGTTTTTCTATAAGACGCCAGGGGTTTAGGACATTCAGTTTTTTACTGTGAAGTGACATTATATGGTTCTTCTTACATCCACTAATCGTAATCTGTCACGAGACATAGTTAAAAAAAAAATAATTTATATTTTTATTAAGGATGTTTTTTCTATAAGACGCCAGGGGGTCGATTCTCGACTTGTAGGAATTTTTTCCTATAGGAATTTTTGACATTTTTCTATACATAGAAAATTTATGACATTTCCCTACATATAGGAAAATGTCACAAATTCCTATAGGAAAAGGTTCCTACAAGTCGAGAATCGACCCCCAATGGTTTAAAATATTTAAATTTTTACTGCATGAGACCTTACGAAATAATTAATATATCTACTTGTCGTAATCTGTCACTCCTCTTGTTTTTTTAAGTAATCATCTTTTTATAAAGGGTGTTTTTTGAGAAGACGCCAGTGGTTTTAGACATATAATTTTTTGACAAACTCAGATCTGAAAGGGTACCTTTTTTTTCATTATTCGCTGTCATACGGCAAATTTTGAAATATACCTCTTTCTTATAGAAACTTTACAAACCACACCGTTTAATCAAAAATCGAATCATAAACATTACTTTCCTATAAATTTAGAAACATTATAAATAAATGCAATAATTAATTTTAGTTGTGTGAACTTGGTTAGGAGGAGGGGGTAGAGCGCTGAGTTTGGGCGCCAGCGCCGGGCGCTAACTTCACACAAGTTAAAATTCTATAATAAAACATTCATTCTTCTTCACACACACTTTATGGACAGTGGCAATGACTTAAATAACCCACCTTCTCCGACAATTTTTTATTATACGTTGGCAATGCCGTTGCCGTTATATTTTGTTGAATATGCTTTGAATTTAAAATAAATTTATAGGTTATGTGTTTATTATGGACAAGAAAATGTGGATTTTTAACTCATTAAATGAAATCAGATTAATATTAAAGACAAATAGAATGGTAAGTAATAGTTCATATAAAAATTTTGTACCTTTACAACTACATCAGGGTTCATAAATTGTGTTTTATTTGCTTCTTTTTTCTTTTCACAGGTAAAGTGCCAATCAAGAAGATTGAAAATCCAGATGAATCTTATCCATCCATATCTTATGAATTCCAGGACAAATGAGCAGAAGCCTTTTATGATACTTCCACATCCAGAATTTATGATCACTTCACTATTGTAAACAATATATGGGTAGAAACTTATTGTACCAATTACACCAGTAAGTACTTATTACTAATTTTACAACAAATTATAGTTACTAGGTTTGGTATACTTTCTTATTATTTGAATTTTTTCGGATGAAAAAGCAACTACACCTTTTCCATTTTGAAATTCTACCAAGACTCCTCGATTTTCATTTGTTAAATCAACAACTTTTTACATTTTGAATCCCATCTAGAAAGTTCAAATTTCTTGTGCCCAATAGAAAGAAACTGGATTTAGTTACTTTTAAAAATAAGTTATTTCTATAAATTAAAGGTGAGTTTATTAAAACTAATGATACTGTAATTTTAAACTAATTTTATATTAAAATTCTATTACTGTTTGAACAAAATCCTGGTTGTCAGATTTAATCAAATTGCATTTTTGTTATCTTTTAAAATGAAGTTGGTATAGAGAAAGTAAAAGTTGAAAAGTTGAAAAGTCTTTTGGTAGGTAGAGAGGGGGGTAAACGTCAAACCACGCCGGGCGGCTCCGAGAATTTCGCAGTAATGTTTACCTGCCAGTGTCGTTTCATAGAATAAGTAATTTTAAATTTTTATCGGCGAAACCGGACAATCGCATGTATTTATGGATTATAAATAATTATTAAACATGTATTATAATATTCAAATCATAATTTTACAAAATTTCAACAGCTATTCACAATTTATTAAACTATTTACTCGAAATTGTTATTAACATCTATAAAATAATTTTGTACGCCAATGTATCGCGTCCACTTCGGTGAAATCCGCTGCCAACCTGTCAATTTATGTGTATAAAGTGGGAGAACTGGCAAAAGCATTTCCAACTTTTACTTCTGTTCTATTCGGTTTCTTACTAAATTTGTTACTTTGTTACTGTTTCTATATTTGTCACATTGTTTCATGTACTGGGTGATATTATTAATATGTCCAAAAGTAAATAATTTTTTTAATTTACAATAATTTTAAAAGTTTTTTGTTTGATTTTTAAAATACTATCTTAATATATAGTCAGGAAGGAGGCATCCTAAACGACCTTGGAATCGCGATGGTATCTGATTTTGACAGTGAACTAGACGAATATGGCGACAAGTGTTTCCGGTCTACCAGTGACGTAATGTCATAAAGGAGCGTAGAAAAGAAAATAATAAATTATCATTTGCATATTATCTAAATTTACCAATTTCTCTCATTTTAACGAATTGCTATTTTCTAGCGAGAAGTTTGCATTTTTTTATTATGTGAATAGATTTTACTTTAAAATTGCATGTTGTGGGATAAATATAGGAAAATATTTTTGAGATAATTTATAGAGGGATTTCATTTGAAAAATCAAAACAATAATGTAATAAAAAAAAATATTGACCTTTTTACGTCTTTATTATGACAATGTCTTCATTAATCTACATTTTACAAATTATTAAGGTTTAAAAAATAAATATGTTTTGTAGATATGCATTAAAAAAATTAAACATCCTATACTTATATTTAGGTCAAACACCGCTGTGATATTTCTTTCTTAGATGTTTTTGTTGGAGTACATATAAAACTTCCTAATATCAAAAAAAATTTCTGATCATTTTATTACATATTTATTTTTTGCAGGACAATTTTGCATAATCAGGTAAAACACCTTTCAAAGAAAGGGTCCTATTACATAATAATGATTCTATGAGTGCAAAATAGATTATTTTTAAATGTACATTTAACACATTATTTGTATGCTTAGTTCAGTTATGATGAGAGTCAATTTGTACTCTAAGGTATTTGATATCATTTGTAATACTTATATGAAACTACTGAACGTTTCCTTTTCTTGTTTCTGTAGGCTTTTTTTTTGTAACTGAATAATGGAACAACATAAGTTTTATCAAAAGTTTTTATAATTAAACCATTCGAAAATTTTTATAATATCTGTTTCTATTAATAACTTTAATCAATTCCAGTTCTTTGCATTTTACAGAATAACTGTATCGTCTGAAAAACTTACAATACTTCCATCTATATTTAAACGACAAATTATTTAAAATAAAATTAAACAAGATAGGACCTAAGTAAGACAGTATCTTGAGGCATGCGATATGATATGCTACTTATTTCCTTACTTGAGATATTATTAATTCTATTTGTGTTCGTTTTTGTAAATAACTTTGTAATAAATTATATAGAGTGCATCACATTTATACAATAAACTTCTATTATACGAAAAAGAAACGGCACATGATATATACTTATTAAAGAAATTATTTACTTATATACTTCAACCGGACCACTTTTATTGTTGGAACAGCTGTTAATAGAAGTCTTATTCTTGGTTTTGAGGTTTGATCAAAACAATCTGCTTTAAAATGGCGTAAACACAAAAAATTCAGATATTTTGGCTCAAAATGTTTGTTGCATGAACTCAAGCCATAACTTTGTTTTTTGAGAATCTTTAGGAAATTTTTCAATTGTTTACCTGTGATTAATTTTTATAATTTGTAAATCTAGAATCTTAGAGAAATCTGAAAATTGTTTACTTGCAATCAATTTATAAATCTAAATTGAACAATAATTTATTCATTTTAACCAGGGGCGGCTTGTGGCCAACATTTTGGGGGTTCATAGTAGCAGAATATAGCTCTCTGTACAGATGTAGGTAAAAAACTTAGTTTTTTAGAAAAGTATATTATAAACTTTCTAAAACACTGAAAGTTTTTTTCATACATCTGTACTGATATCTATATTCTGTCTCTGTGAACCCCCAAAATTTTGTCACGAGCTACCACTGATTTTAACAACCATATAAATATCTTAAAATTGCATAAAATAATTGTTTAAATAAAAGTATGTATACCCTATAAACCATGACACTACGCCAATGAGCACAGTTGATCGCAGACGCACTTACCCTGTTTGTTTACAAATTTAAAACAATAAAAATTTTAAAAATCTTTAATGTGGTTGAAAATTGAGAGAACAAAATACTTGATTATGAAATGTATTCCTTTCGACTTTTAGCTGTGCTGCTACATCCACAAGATGAACAACTGACCATATTGTCTTGTTTGTCTTTTAACACGGAAAATTTAAAATTAACAGTAAATAAATACTAAAACACTAAACACTTTTTAAAAATGTCTACAAAACATACGCTTGATAAAATTTTACATTAACACATAAAACATTCAAATTATAAACAAATTTTAGAAACCATTTATCATATGATGATGAGTCATCCATAGTACAACATGGCCACCACTTCCGTTAGATCGATTAGATTAACGCGGACATGGCATGCTCCTTCCTGACTATATATGTTCTAAAGTCTGATTGGCCATGAGCCGATTAATATTTATTTTCGCGCGCTGTTTTCGATTAACTGATACGTCAAATTCGGCTTCCTCCATAATACGTCACCGGGATGTATAGTATCAATCTGCGTAATACCGTACCTTCTTTTTATAGTATCATGGCTCAGTACTATGTTTCGACGAGTATAACTTCACCGAATAGAAGATCATTATAATCACCACTTTGGATATATAAATACCTCCCAAAATGTAGCCCGTTGACCGAAGCAAAATTCTGCAAAGAATAAGGTGGTAGACGATATAACTCCAACCGACCTCTAAAAAATCTAAAAGAAGTAGGTGTACCTGGCAAAATCAAGAGATTAGTTTTTTGTGGTACATGTAGGCATCACTAGAGTCTCTTTTTAGTAGCCTAAATACATAAGCATAAATGGTCGCTATAGAATTGGACGGGGGGTGTTGATCAATCTTTCTTGACCAACCAAATTATGAGATGAATAGGTCTGCAACAAGCAACTGTCAATTCTACAGTGTAGAAGATATTTTACTCTGCACATTCTCTGTACCAGCTACGTCTTGGAAAGAAATAGGTTTCATATCTTTGGCTTCGAACGACTTTTGTGAGTATCCCTTAATCATTGGTTATAATACTTTGTCCAGTTTGGTCCTTCATAGTAGACTCCATTGACTAGGATTAAGCTCTCCGGCTTAGTGGGTATCCCTTGGTTTTTCTTGTTATTAGTACCTTTTCAATTTCTGTACCTGCTATAGACCTTCGCAATTACACAATACGTGTACTGCAGTTTCCTTCTCTTCCTAATAATATAATTTTCTTATCTTGGTCAGAATCCAAATTTCATGCCCTTCCTATCGCAATATTCTCTACATTTTTACATGGCATACAGTCCATTTTTTAATAGCTAGAACTCGTATATCTAAATCTGTAGCATGGATGGTTTGATTTGAATCTATCTTTGAAGCATGATTTCTTGTAGCGTATAAAGCACCCTTGAATTAAGAGAAAAATAGAACAGACTTCTCAGAAATAGAAAGAATGTAAATATTTTAGGTTGCTACATTTGGATTCTAGTTATGTTACATAATTATAAAGAAGCCAAGACTTAGTTGGATTGAGGAACTATTGACCAACATAAATTTTAGAAAAGCGAAAGTAGGATTCTGACTCTAGAACCACACTAGTGGATAATGATGCTAATCACATATATGACGCCTAGATGAGATACGGAGGATAACTGAAAAAATAAACAGAAATTTTTTTTTTGAAAAAGTAAGAAAGTATACAGTAAAAACAAAAAAGTTAAGAACGTACGTGTTCATTCGCCTTTCACGACACAGCTGTATGCAATTTCATTTTCTATTCTACATTATAATCGAAATAAGTTTATTTGTTTTTTAGATCAATATCTTTCTAGTATCTATTTAAATGACTTAATTAAAAAAATGTTACGAACG